TAAGTACTTCACCTTTTACAGTTCACAGTTATGCACCAGGGTTCATTTTTATTGATGCATAGCTGGAGGTAAGACAGGTAATTTTTTCAGTTGTGATTATAAAGGCTTTAAAGCAGGGAGCAGACCCTGCCGCGTATCTTCGAGCAGTAACTAAACTCACAACCTGTGCAATCCCCTTCGAAAAAACGGTTTCTCCTTAAACAGAGAAATGGTGTTTCTTTGCAGGGTTTGAGTTGCTGCTTCTTGTGCACATTGAATTTATCTTCGTAGTTAAAAAAGCCTTACTCCAAAAACCTGTTTTTCCTTAAAAAAACCCAACCCTTTACTCATAGTCCTCATAGTTGTGGTAACAACTTTGAAAATATGAGCCAGACAGTGCAAAAAACTTCTGGTGAGTTTAAAGACCTCTTGAAACAACAGCACCAAGAGGTATGAAACGCTGCATACTGAAGGAGTGTTTATTCTTAACTCCTAAAGACAACTTCGAAGGACATAAAGTAGGGAGGAAAAATGTACCATCAAAATAAACACATACAAAAGAGAAAGGATCTTATGAGTCATGCTAGTCATGGTTGCCATTTAAAGCAAGTGGTAACTATAAGCTCACTTCTACTGACAGCTACTATTCTAAATTTCCAAGCTCTCTTCTAATGGATAAATCAAATAACTTCGCAAAGGGATTTTCAGATAATCCTTTTCTCGTTTTCGAAAGTTCACCTGCACTGCAGGATCCCCCAGGAATGCATTCAGTTTCTGCTAAAAGGCCAGCCACACACGCTTCAAGCAGCATTTAAACCCCAGGCAAGCGATGCACAGACTGCAGACAGCCCTTCTCCAAGAGCAAATGACGTGAAAAATGGGACCTATTTTGTTTTGCTTTACTGAAACCAGAGACATCCCCACATCAGAGGTATTTAAACATTTATTACCGTTAATCATTGTAGGTTAAATAAAACACAAAAACTACATTTTAGGGCAAAAAATATTATTAGGTATGATACAATTAATATGTAAAACAGAAGGTAAAGTATTAACAGATTGCAGCATCCCATACATGAAGCGAGTGGGTCCAGCCCAGTCAAAGCCCTTATATAAACAAAACAAAGGAAGAGTACTTAGCAGGTGACCTTAAACTGAATTTGTCACTGACTCTGGTTTAAATAATTAAGGGTAGGATAGTAAAATATATCATTGTACTGAAAAGGTCTGATTATAGTCAGAGTGCTGCTCACATGTATAATCTATCTGGTCACGCTCGCTACCATGTGCCATGAAGGATTAGGGAAGATGAGGGACAACAGGTAATTTTTCTAGGTATTGATACAGACCCATGGTACACTGCAGCACTTTGACAGACCTGCTGTACCATGGACAAAACTAATTATTTTTTTCTTTTTTTTTTAGTGTCACTTTATTACTTCTGAGTCCCAATTCTTGGATAATAACGGCCTTTTTTAGATTTCTCAGTTTGCAAGACAAACTTTTTATACAACATGCCATCTTCATGCATAGGAATGGCAAGTCAACAATTGTACCTATGTGTATCTCCATCTTCTTGCCACCTTTGATCCATAACTTTTAAGTTCATAAAGGTGAAATGATCATTAACAAAAAAATGTACTTACAGAATACAACGTGCAGTATATGAGAACCAGACATAGTGAAAAAACACTACATGTCAGCATAACAATATAAAACTGTACTTATATACACACACATATGCAGAGCATATATGAACACTAGTTCCTTCATAATCTTATTTTTAAACTACTTCACGACAAGCCAGAAAAGCAAGTCACCACGACTGGACAGTCACAGTCTTGAGTCACGGTATAAACGAGCTCCACCAAACACCCTTGGCACTGCAGCCCGGGCCTCCATCCCGCTGCCAGCTCTTGAGAAAACCACCTCGGACAAACCCAGCGCCAGCTGGCCAACCTAGAACCGCAGCGTTAGTATTATTATCCGTATTATTAGAGCAGATCAGCTACAGTCAGGTGCTCCTGTACAGTAATTCAGCTTTTCACCAGCCATTAACCACTAAGAGGAATTCTAGTTGCTGCTGAAACTTTGGACTCCGAGGTTGGGGTTTTTTTGTGTGTCATTTTTCTGGCTGTTTATGAAGGGCGCTGATACTTTCCATGCAACACAGGCAACAAAAACAAGCAGAACTAATGCATTTCAGATTTGAAAATCACAAGTTCTAGAACAAACCGTTCCCCCATTTGAAGAGGCACGTTAAAGCTGCCCTTCAGCTTTGACGAACAGCAACACGATCGTCAAAGGCAAGCCCTGTCTTCAAAGAAAACGTGAGCTGCTCTGCACAGCACAGCGGCCTGCTCTTCTTCCACCTGTACCTTCAGAGTTCCCTGCTGAAGCTACTGGTAACCCAAATCTCAAGAACTTACACAATCAGAATCCTTATTCATTTAAATCTTTCTCTTGACTAAAAGCAGAATAAGGTGATGTAGATTTGGCCCACCAAATGCAAAAGTATTTCTGAGCCTACTTAGCCAGCATTTGAATTTTAAAATCTGCCAGACATCCCTTGTAACAACTCCCAATTTTAAACTATTTTAACCTATACCTCATAAACCTGTTCTGATTCGCATACAGCTCAATGGCAGCTGTGAGAGCTGGCTGTTCAGGACGATACCCCGTATAGACCAACACGACTTGCCAGTTCTAGCAGAAATTAGAGAACACAAGGTACTCGCAGAATTGGCTTACAAAGCTTCCAGACATCTCAAGTAGGGTTTAATGAGTTTTGAGATATCCCATTAAAAAAAAGAAATATGCCACAAAGATTTAGGAAAGCTGAAAACTCCGTTACGAATAACTACCATATGTTGAACTAAACTTTATGACACCTTTCAAAACGTGGTGGTTCAATCTCACCTTGTTTTCTTGGTAACAGGTCTAGCCTTTTACCAGGTTTTATTCAGGAAGAACCATATCTCTTGCAGTACCGGGTCACAGATCCCATAAATTGTATGAATCTGTGATGCTGATACGTTTGGTATTTCTTTAGTGCTGAAGGCCAGGTTAACCTCTCCCTCCACGGCCAGGTGGAAGAGCCAGGCACCCTGGCAGACTTGCTTGTGCTAGGATGAGCTGAAACGTTCCCTAAAGGAGCCTGTCTCCCTCCCCAACTACTGACAATGATGACTGCTGAATTTTCACTTAAACAACCCTGGATTATCTGAAAAACAGTTCTGCAATGAAGCAGCAACATGGACCATGTATCAGTACAGGTGACAACCGAAAGTTTACCTAAAATATCCTCTCATGGTAACTGAGTCCGTGCATTATCCAAGGGCATATTTTCACGTATGAGTCCTTTCAAAGGAGTACAAAATATGAGAAATGGATTATATGTGAAAAAACAAGGCAGTTTAGATCCTTAGATAAAATCCAGTGGGATGTTTCCCACCTGTAACTACTTCAAGCCCTCTGAAGACAAAGAAAGCTTCCTGTTGATTTCATCTGGCTCCCTTTCAAGCCCTAATAATTAGTATCAAAGCAATCTCCAAGCAATAAGGTCTGGTTTTTATGTATAAAGACAGAAACCCAGCTGTAGCCTGCCTATTCAAGATTTATTGTGGAAAGTTGTTTTCCCCTTTTGTTTGCTTTTCATAAGTCCCCCAATAAATGGGCAGGGAGGTTAACCTTCCTCAGAAGAGAACAAATTAATGCTGTGGAGTGCAGGCCCGGCTTTGGTTTTGAAGCCCGCCTTTCTCACCCTAGTTATGATTTCCAACGAAATTGATGAAGAAGATAAATTTAGATTTTTTTCATCTCAGTCACACACATTCATAAAAGATGGAAGTGGAGAACACATACACTTTTACATTATTTCTAGTTCATAATGACCTATTGGACTTCTTTTTCTATGCTGCATTTCAAGCGCATCAAGCGTCAAAGATATCATGCAGTGGGTCTTCCCTACCACATCCCCATGCCAGTGAGGAGGCTACTCCACAAATTCACAGAGTTGCATTTGTAAAGAAACATTCTGGTTTGTTTTATTAGATTCCAGCCTTCAACCCCAAATTATATTGTGCTCTCTTAAGCTGTTTTTGTACAGAAACATCATTCTTCCAACTTGAAGACTTCTTGGAGCGCAGCAGTGAGACCACAAGGAGCGGGGCACTGTGGCACCCTCTCTTAGAAACCAAGGAAGAGGCAGCTTTGAGCAAAGACAACTTTGGTCTGGGGCACAGATTTGAAGGAAACCCGTTAAGCAGTGGAGATTAAACTGGTGTTTACATTCTTTTTACAATTTCAGAAATTAATGACACCCTAGAAAGGGAATCAATTCAGGCAAAGCACAGTGGCTGCATCTTCACTTCTTTCTGGAGCAGACTGGAGCTGCATGGGGTCCAGCAGTCCTTCATGACAACTCCTTCCTTCACATACACAGCACCTCCTGACACAGATTTTGACTTCTAGCTTGTAAAAATTGCACTTGCTCATCCTTTGGAACCATTTTTTTTTCTAGTTAGCAAATTCAGTCCATTTCTTGCTGATGTTTACTGAAAGTACGAGATGAAGCTACAGATTTAGAAAAAATACTGAAGCAAAGTCCAGCTAGAAAAATGGCAGAGAAACTCTCAGCCAAAATTCAGGTTTTATGGTGGGAGGTTTTTCACCCTATTATTACAGAGAAGACTCTAAAAACATGCCAAGTCCACTTTGCAATCTAAGAAGAGAGGTTTTTGTAGCAAATCTAAATTTTATGTATAAAAGGATCTTTTTATTAAAAAACCCCAGTCATTGGTTTAAACAGAGAATCGGTTACTTTAACATTGCAATTTTGACAGGATATTAGAGAGGATTTTCCAACTAGGTTTTGCAAAATCCCTTTGAAGTAAAGCTTTCTGCTTCTGGTCCTTGCATTATTGCTCATGGGAAGTATTGAAATTACTGCTTTCAAGACAGGAGCCACATCACTGAGATCATGAAGTCCTCTCTCAGTGAAAAAAGCAAACGGTGCTGTTTTTCAAGTAAATCTAAAAAGATCAAGTTGGGTCAGCAGCACCGCCTCCCCGTCTGTGAAGTCTGCTTTCCAAGTTTGATTGCTCCATTGTTACCGTTTTCATGAGGATCCAAGGGTGGAATCTGCCGACCTGAAACACAGGAGGAGACAGTGAATTCAATTTTCCTGATGTAGTAACAACACATGCAGTAACAGTTAGAACAGTTCAGCTTGTGTAAGAATTCCATCTGTGAAACTTCACCAGAAAACAACCATCTCCTGTGTACCTTGAGTCTCTTCCCTTGCATCCTACTTATGAACAAAGTTTTTCATATTTAAAAAGATATGAAATATGGCTGTTGAGAATGCACGAAGTACACAGAAATGAAGTACACTGAAATTATGTTATCCACGTATTTAAAAAAAAACAGTTATCTTACTGAGCACAAGTAAAAAGAGAAAATTCTCGGCTTTCTCCTAATTCCACTTACATGTGAATGGTGCTGGTTTAATGAGATCTTGCCTGTCCTAAATCTGCGCGGCATTTAGTCCTTGTACATTAGAGTGTTACAAAGCACTGTAACTAAACGCATGCTGCCTATACTTGAAAAAGAACCCCAAATCCGCTCTTTCTATTGAATCCCTCCCTTTGAGGGGTACCCATGTCTTTCCAGTTGACAGCTTTGATTACTTAACACCACCCTCTCTCCCTCCCAAACTCTCCCAATTTTTTAATCATCTTAAAGGGTGATTATTTTAAGAGTCTGAAAGAATTTGAGCCGTCACAGGAGAGCTAGAGATCTCTCCTAGGGCAGAAGGCACTGCTCCAACTCCCTCGTCTGTGTGCCCTCTTAGTACTGCTGCATCTTTTGTCTAACTGGCTTCCTACTCACAGACAACATACAACGTGCTTAATGACTAGAAGGATAAACGGAAAAACAAGATCCTCCCAGGTCCAACCTATCCCCTGTCTCTGGTGTGGGCTTGGCCTTTCCACTAAACCCACTGTGTGATCCCTCCATCAGCATCTTGGAGAGCTTATGGTCATGGAAATATACTTTCTCATCACCTTGTGGATTTCCTGGAAGTTTTTTCTGAAGTTGAATCTACTTTCTATGAATTGCTCCTGGTTTTACTATTACCCATGTTAAATAACAAGAGTTAAAATATTTAACATTTATTTGTTATACGCCACTTTCAGAGAACATAAAAGTTCCTGTGAGCAGCTCATTGTAATCCAGGTGGATTTTACAGTTTAGATTTCTCCATCCTTTGCTGCATTTATTCACAGCTCTCTTGCCAAATGTTCTATGAATTATGTACCTATGCTGAAGCCCGAGTCCTACAAATTACTTGGGGGAGTGGTTGTGGGAGGGCGAGTTAAAGGCATTCAGGTAAAACCCAATCCCAATGAAATCAAACAGCAAAATTTCATCTGTAAAACTTGTCCCTAAATTACCTTTGGTCAAGCCCATCAAAATTTTACCTCTTAGTCCGTTCTGAACAGGTATGTTACAGAACAAAAGCGTGACTTTTGAAGCAAATAATCTTGGGTGTTTGTACAACTGAATGAGAGGGGGGAAATTCCTCACATTACTAAGCTAAAGATACTGTATTTGGTCCAACAGAGTGACAAACAGGTATCTTGAGGGCTGAAGCATGTCTAAGCGCTGACATTACAATGCTGTGCTCTATTTGGGTCACTAAAATATCAGCTTCACAGGCAGCTTACGTTCCGTCTGGACTTCATCATCCTAAGTGCCCTTCCAAAGTAAAATAAAAAGCAAAATGGGGGGGTTATAGACACAGCTGTTACGTGCACTGGTTCTGTTGGCTTTCTGTGAAGACAGAGAGAATCCACTAATTCTTAAAACTCTAGAGAATGAGGAATGCAGTATCTGTGAGAGGCTTTCCAAGAAGGTGATGCTGCTGTTCCAGAGACCTGCAGAGAACTTTTGCATTAGCTTTCCAAAGTGCTTTCAACTCAGTCCCAGCTAAAATAAAACCCTGTCGGTCTGACTCAGAGCACAATGTAGCCATAAAAACTGCAATCTGCAGACACAGTTTCCATAACATACCATTAAGCAAATACTCTCTAAACATTTGGTTCTCCTAACAGCAAGTTTGGAAGAGGAGAGCTGTAACATGCAAGCTAGCTTAACTTCCATTTTAGAAGTCCACATTAAACAATTAGGTTATCTCTACTTGGTTTTCATTCAGCGTTTCATATTTCTTACGAGTTTCAAGTCTTTTCCACAGTACTCTCAATGTGTATACAAAGAAGCAGGCAAACTTTGGAACAAAACCACTGCAGGCTTCAAGGTCAGCAGGCACTTTGTCCAGTTCAGACCAGGACACAATATATGTTGTTAAGAATCACCTTGATTTATTTCATTTCTCAAAACGATAAAAACAACACTGATAACAACAACAAACAATAAAGAGAAAAAAATTCTAGACACAGTATTTGCTGATTAGTTACTCTGGCCTTTGAACTTCAGTACTGTTCGTCATTAACTAGCCATGTTTTCTGCTGTTTGGATACTACCGCGCCTTGAATTCAGTACAAGGAAATACACCTTTAAACTGTCTAAACTTTTTTTGAGTTTGAGAATATTTCTTTTAGTACGTGTGTTTTCTCTCACTTATTACCAGATTATTAAACCATCAAGTTAAATCATTTTAGTTTTAGTCCCAAGACTTATCCCTGCCCAAACAGCTTTTACCATCTGATGCGCAGCTGACAGGAGTAACTCTCTTGGAGCACCAAACTCAGTCTAACACCCGAGAACAAGCTCCATAGCAAATGATATAGTGATTTTCACCAAGGGTCTGGGGAAATAAATAAAAGTAACCAGCCAGAAATCTGTTTGACCGATTGTCTCTCCCTGGGCCTCATTGACAGCTAGTCTCACAGCAGAGGCTGTAACAGAGAAAGGTTTAAGCAGCAGCAGAACACGATGGGCACTGAAACGCCAAGCCTGCATCTACACTTCCCGCTTCTAAACCAGCTCAATCACTGTTGCTACATAAAAGCACTGTGATCATCTCATCTTGTCATTCAGCTCTTCATAAATATGGCATCAATATTGCTGACACCAGCTCAAATATAGCTGGCACTGTGTCAGGATCAACAGAGGCCATAAACTGAATTAATTTTAGAAAGTATATACTCAGTTAAAATGTTTCTCTGTACATAGTCTCTGTTCCAGAGCAATAAAACCCACCCCTGTATTGGATAACTGACAGCATTGTTAATTTATGCTGTTTCTTTCATGCAGTTCATGTCAGAAAGCAGCAGTAGTGCTCCGACACGCAGCCCTGCAATTAAAAAGATTAATACAATTCCTCTTCAAACCAAAGACTGCTCTGTTAAGATAGAGTCAGCTCAAAAGGTCCATGAGAGATTGAACTCATCTGTTGCTTACTTAAAGACGACCAACCAGATCACGACTAGAGTCTTTTCTCCATTTTGCACAGCAGGACACAACTCACCAGCATGCCAAAGACCACTAACAGCACAACTTAGGAGTCCAGATGAAATGGTCAATTGCACAGTGAAAACCAGATGCGCATATGTTTATGTAAAAATTCTGCAGCTGAACCGGTGAAAAGAGGAACTTGGGGAAATACTACTGCTGAGACGGTGTAAAAGCCCTGTATGGTTCCCATTGCTGATATTTCTAAGGAGTGAGGTCCACTGACTGCAAGTTAAAAATTAGATTTTGCACTTGTACTAATCAAATATCTGATTATATATTTGGTTTCATTTCATTAACATTTAGACCACGTTTCACAGATTTTGTTCAACAAAACTGTTTGTTACCATGCGCCTCTACACATTCGTGCAGAGGTCTTTGTGTCCTCCGTGATCTCATTCCAGTAAACACATCACAGTGTGTAAACCACTATGTGTCACAAGAGACTGCTCAAATTGTCACGGCGCTGAAGTGAACCATGAGGTGGGAAGCACTAAAGCAATCACATCTCCTCCTTTCTGGTACGTTTGAGCTGGGCTGAGGCAGTCCAGGATGAAGGTCAGAGTCTTCTCCAATGCCTGGTAGAGTTCCAACTCCTGCTTTGAATCTGAGACTTGTCAATGTAAAGAGATTAATCAGCCCTCTGGGAGTTGCGGTTCTGAGAGCACCAGAGGCAAAGAGATTAGGAAATGGGAGGGTGGGACACGACATAAGCAAAATGGGAAAGGAGAAAAATGAAAACTGGAGCAGGGCAACAAGAGAGACAGCAGGGACTGGGTGACAGCTCTGCAAGCAGAGCTTGAAAAAAGGCTGGGGATTGCTCTGCTGCAGCTGGAAGCAGGATGCATCACCACAGTAATAAAGTCTGCTCTCTTTGTTCCTTTTTGAATGCGATGCTCCAGTTACAAGCTGTGACATCCATTAGCTCAGAAAAATCAGGCTTGGAGTTGAGCTTTTTGGTTTTGTTTGGTTTTTTAACATGAAACTAGTGTCATCACTGACCTGCCCAAGACTGCCTGAACGGCTGGAAACAGCCTTAAAGCTTAGCAGAAGGAAAAAAGCCCCACAACTGGTTACCATGCTGACAAAGGGATAAACACAACAGTGCATTGAACAGATACTTGTTCAGTGTGGAAACAGATCTGATGCGATCAATCTGGGCTGGCACGTGAAGTTCAGGTCCAAGCCCAAGAGAAGCCCAGCCCTACTATGTAATTGCATCAATTCTGCTTAGGGCAAGAGGCAAGACACCACGGTGCTGCACAGTGGCTTTCTGCACATTTCTCCCATCTGTTCTCTTCCTGAAAATCATGTACAATTTCATTTTTCTAGGAGGAAAGGGAGAGCTTTGCAAGGGCAGGATGTGAAATCCATTTCGCTCTGCCCCAGAGCAGCAGCCTGACAGCTGCCGCAGCTCACGGCAGCTTTTCTCATGGCTCACCTGACCAAAGGTAGGCAGTTTCAAGTCGTGGTACAACCGCCACACAACGGCCAGCACCTCCTAAAACTGCTGTGTCCCAGCAAGGGGAGCCCCTGCAAAGCGCTGCTCTCTCTACACCTCATGAACACAGCACAGCCAGCCGCCAAGGCAGGGCAGAACGAAGCAGGCACATCTTACCCAACACTTCTGGCATCTGCACACAAGACTTGCTGCACCTGTAGGACTTCGGAC